CAGGAACAAATGGGCAAAGTTTCTTTCACCCTGAATGCCCCGGTACCCTGAATGGAAATAGGTACCAGGGAGCTAGTCAGCTGTCACGGGCTGCTTCCTGGGTGTGTGTGTGTGTGTGGTGTGAGAAAAAAAAGTAGTTAGTAAACAGTTGAGAGGCGGGCCGAAAGAGCAAAACTCAACCCCCGCAAAACACAACTAGGTGAAAATCAGCTGGCAGGTGTGGATGATCTGACACCTGCTTCTGGCACTTCTAAATGATTTAACCTCTGCCTCTAACTGTACTAGATGATCAGACACCTGCTACCAACTATACTAGCTAAAGTTAATGGCACAGAGTCATAAGTAAAAGCATATAACATCCAATGGGTTTTGAGATCTCGTGGAGGGCTGGCAACAGTTTCGTGAGTATATTTTTTTAGCATTTTGTTAGAAAGTCTTTTGATAGACATTTTTGTAATCACAACTCTGCTTACGAACTCACCTGCACACACGAACGTTACACCTGAGAATTCAGGCAATTTAATTACAACGAAAAGGAGTTAGAAATGGTTATGAATTTAGGTCTCATTAGTGGCTGATCTTCCTTGTATTAATGGCTGTATCTGGAGCGCTAGAAATATAATAATATTGAATAAATGAACTACTGTGGTGACAGAAATCACAATGCGAAACAATGAATATAAATTGTATAAGATTATATTCAGGAAAGACCTGGGTAAATACTAGTTTGAAAACATGACTGTTAATTTATGGAACCAATTACCGGGTAAAATTATAGACGTTAAATCTTTGGATTGTTTCAAGCGAAGGTTAAGTATATATATAGGGATGAGTTTGATTGGATATATTACGGGCTATTCATGCCCGTGCCACCTCTTGGGTGGCTTAATCTTTATCAATCATCATTGGATATAAATATAATCTACCTGGTATTAGTCACTAGGCCTTCTGCAATTTATTTTTAATATTTAGGTTGTTATATTTTATGTGCTTGACCCAACAAGGTTTTCTAATCAAGGGATTGTTTCTTTTACTCTATAGAAATTGAAACATTTTTGACGTAATTTAGTTAATTTTGATTTTGATAATGGATTTTGAGTCTCAATCCAAAGCTTCAAACATTTGCTAAACATTTAAGACTTACATCTGCAGGCGATGAGTCACAATAACGTGGCTAAAGTATGTTGACCAGACCACACACTAGAAGATGAAGGGACGACGACGTTTCGTCACAATCGACTTGAGAATGGTCCATGACGGACCGAAAAGTCGTCGTCCCTTCACCTTCTAGTGTGTGGTCTGGTCAACAATAAGACTTACATCCTTTATATTGCAACAGTTAGGATCACCAAGACTAGGTTTTCTAGTTGTCTTGACTTGACATGCTAATGGTCTAGGACAGATCAAAACGTCATCGTTTCTCCATCTTCTGATATGTGGTTTGGTCATAAGACTTAGGTGTTATTAATGACAAAAATGCTTTTCATCATTTTTGAGATTTCACCAAGAAGCAGTAAGTTCAACCCACTCGTCTGAAATGACAAGAGAGAGAGTAGATGTTTCTGCCTGTTCTGGACAACCTTTGGACACGATTTTCTCTCATCTCCAGATGTGTGGGGGTTGTGTGTCTATCTCACGAAAGATTTTAGCCTTCATGGAACGAGCAGAAGAGCTTCTATTTATCAAGAATGTTTACAACTGTTCACTGGAGTGTAAACCTAATTTGATGCTATCAAGCGCTTGTATCATTTAAGAGTTCACGGTAGGGCTCCTCACCTTCCCAGTACCAACCGTGAAGGAGTACATTTGTGTCTATAAAACCCTCCACTTCGCTTGAAACCCAAAATCATCGGCAATTAGAATTTGCACGCTTATAAGTCGTTTGAAAGCCAAGTACCCTACAAATATTTTTTTCTGCAGATGTTACTTTTTCTTAATACTAGCAGAGCATCTCCACCCACACCTGCACTCATAATCCTCACCCACACCTGACTGTTACATCCACACCTACACTCGTTTTTCTCTCATACACGCAAACACACACACACACAGTTAGTAAATGGAATGCACTAGGAAGTGATGTGGTGGAGGCTGACTCCATACACAGTTTCAAATGTAGATACGACAGAGCCCAATAGGCTCAGGAATCTGTACATCAGTTGATTGACGGTTGAGAGGCGGGACCAAAGAGCCAGAATTCAACCCCCGCAAACACAACTAGGTGAATGTACACACACACACACACACACACACACACAAGCCCACTATCATCTACACCCACATTACTCATCCCACGAAGTCTGTGGAAGCGTTTGCGTATTCAAGAATTTCCTTGTGCAGATACCAAATACCTTCCCCCACATCTTGCATCCTGAAAACATGAACTCAGCCAAGCAAGCACGCAAAAACTCACAATCTCCCATCTAAGCACCCAATCTCTCAGTCACCCAATTTGCCTCACCCACAACTTCACCCCTCACCCCCCATGCTGTCCATGCCCCCACCCCACCCCACAACCAGCTGCCACCTCCACCTGCGATGCTCATCACAGTTGAGATGGGGATGACAGGTGATGCGAAATCGGTCTCTGGCCTTGAGCCGAACACTGTTATCAATGTCAACACACCGCTCATTATCCAATTAGAACCACTGAACAGACACGTGATCAATTGATTACCAGTCAAACTCATTAGTGCAGGGGTGAGCAGGCTAGGCTGAAAGCAGGGGTTCTGTAATTGTAATTAGAGATAATTGTGGTGGTGTCCGGTGTCCTGTATTTTCGTGGTGGGCATCTGTGAGTGCTTGCCTAGATGGACTGGCTTAGATGTGCTTGTTAGGTCGAGCGCCTGCTTTCAAGCAAAGTTTTTTTTGCTGTTGTAGATTCAGCTATTTTGAACAAAATTTCCATGTAGCATGAGCTATATAGCGAACTCGTAAGGGTACAAGCAGAGCGTTTCAGTGTCTATCAATTCAGTGACTTTTCGTTAGTTTCTCATTATTTATATATTTAAAACTTAATTGAATTAATTGGCTTTCACAACTCCCTGAGTGAGTGTGTGTGTACACTCGACTATTTGCATCTGCAGGTTCGAGCTTCTAGCTCTTGGATCACTCCTTTCTACCCGCTGGATATCTATTGCAATGACTTTACTTTCATCTATCAGATCCACTTTTCAAATAGGTAAAGTCCGCTTCTACAACCTGTTTCTTTAGTTAATTTTCTCGCTATTACGCCAAAAGAAAACTTTCTAAACTATGACTTCTGTTTTTCAAGCTATCCTCTTCTGTTTATTTTAAACCATTTTCTACTTTACCAATTTCTTAAGTATTTATAAGCCTTTATCAAGTCTCCTGTGCTTTCCTCTACTGTCTTCAGGTCTACCCCTTTTGGTCTTTTTCTATACACCATCTCTCAAAATTCTGGGACTCTGTTACAGTTCTCTAAAGTATTTCTAGTGTTATTATGCTAGAGACATCGGTGGGGCCAGCGTTCTCTAAGACTGGTCTCACGTTGGTGGTGTCTAGCGATCTTAATTCTCTCTATTTGGGTTTTTAAACGATGTTATGACTTGCTATTGTAGAGTGCGTATGGGGAGGGAAGGGTGCGTGTGTCTGCACATATTCTCTATTAGCTTTGCCCAGAAAGCAAAGTCCGCAACTTTCGTCCATTCAATCTAATAACCAAAACAGTATTTAACCGTTTCCATTTTTCCAAGACTGTCATACTTATAATTAAAGCTGCAAATTGAATCGGCTGCGTCTACCAGTTCACGTCTTCGTTGTGGAGTGGCAGAGACCAGTTCTTCTACAGTCGAGCAGTACCTAATCCAAATAGTTTGCTCCCGACTATTCCCCCCCCCCCCCCCACCATGAGAATTTGTGGGGGTGTTGAAACTATATATACTCAATTAGTAAATTAATTTCTTTGCAAGTTATGTATCAGCTCTGGGACTAGTGTGGTGGCATTTACTTTGGGTCTTTAGTTTTAAATTTAGCTTTAAGCAAGGACATCTCCACGCTGTCTGTGCATATTTTTTGTTCTATAATTTGGATATCTTATGTATTTAGGTCATGTGTGATTAAATTTATTCAAAACGCAGTTCTAATATTTGCCAACTTCCCGGTGGGAATAATGCCCAATCGTAATGGTAACTGGAAGTCTAATTAAAAGTCACTATTTCACCCATTTGGTTTAATATGAAGATGGCGATATTCATTCGATGCCGACTAAAGTACCGTTTCGGAAAAAAACTTCGTCTAATAGTTCAGTAAGGATGCAACTCTTATGGTATATAACTCACGGCCACTGTTACTTATACCCACCAAGTGCAAAATTTGTGGTGGAATGCTGTAAACAAGACCAAGATTTCCAGTTTACAATTCTTGTGGCTATGCCTCTGGGTATCTCTGACTGACCTAGAAGACGGAAGGGGAAGGAATTATCAAAAAGGAAACTCCTAGCTATTACGACTCTCACTGAAGGGATCCGAGTTAGAGTTTATGGCCATCATGAAGGATTGATAAAATATATGCTGCGGATAAACCAAATTGAATGATGTAATGTTTTATAAAATGTTTTCTATTGAACGCATTACCTTACAGCGAGATGGTGACTCAAATTCTTTTTAGAGATTATGGGTGCGTCACTGTTCTTTGGTAAGTTTTATATGTCAAGGAATTAGGGACTGGAAGTCTATAAAAAGGTACATCTTAATTTTGTTGCTAGTAACTCATAGAAAAGTCCTGTCACAACCTTTCTGATGGTTCTACTTTAAGCATTTTCCGTCTTTTGATCCACTTACTTGGACGCTCTTCGTTTATGTTTTGAAAGTTGTGGGAAGCCGGAGAGATTGTGTAGTAGAGCGTTTTAACTACATTTAAGCTAAACCTTTAAAAGTAAAGGTAGTGATTCCATAATACGCAACCATACTTTATTTTTATTAATCATTTAAAAGTAAATATGGAACAGATCACACTAACGTGAATCATCAAATGAACAAATCCACAAGGGCCGTGACGAGGATTCGAACCTGCGTCCGGGAGCATCCCAGACACTGCCTTAATCGACCGATTTGTTCATTTAACTCTAGAAGTTGGACGCCTCTGTCGTTTCGAAGCGTAGGTTAGACATGAATGACATTTGGTAGATACAGGAGCCGCCTCGTATGGGCCAATAGGTCTTCTGTAACAGCTGGAGAAGAAGTCATAATGGCTATTCGGGTTGTCACGTCTACCATCTCCTGCATGGAAAATAAAAATTCATTAGTATTAGTAACACCCTTTAAGGTTAAGAATTTAAGCTGAAGAAAATTTTGGAAGGTGACCGAATTGTCGAAATGCTCAAGAGTTCAGTTGGCTCTGAAAATTTTTTACGTGAACCGAACTATCATTTGCAATATTCAGCCTGTCCTTGCATAAAAGTATCCTACCTCTTTAAATCTAGCCATCAAACCTTTATGAAAAACCTGTTTATACAAGACTACTGATGACGTTCGCACATTTCCTGAATAAGTTTTTCCACGTCCTCTGAGCAGCCCGTCCTGCAAATAAAGATCCAAAAGTTATTCCATGCACCCGCCAAACCCCCAGTTTATGAATTAAAAATTTTACACTAAACTGATTTCGTTCGAACACTTTCGGAACAAATGCTTCACCGACGAATTTTGTTCGAACTACAACGCTATAAATGCTTCACCCACGTAGTACAAATACAAATAATCGCCAACAGAATCCAACCACGTAACCTATGCCTATATATGCACAATATGCTAATATTATAATTTATATTTGAGGAAAATAGTTTTAAATGAACATGTTAAAATTTATGAATGCGTCTGTGGGGTCGACCGCTGGGTGTAATGGACGGGAGTCCAGAACGGGTTGCTCTGAGCGAACCACAATTCCTTAAATGCGTCACCCGCGTACTTCAAAATACAAATCTCCAACAGAACCTACACACCTACCCTACGCCTAACTATACATACAATTTGCATGCATTATATAAATTTATTTACGAAAAAAATAAATTTTAATACACAGTATGCTAACATTTATGAATGCGTCCGGGGAGGACGGCCGCTGTTTTAAACTAACTAGTGTGAAGACAGGTTACAATATTAAATTAATACCTCTTCTGTAGTGTAGAGAAAACGTGCACTCCTGGAGGTTTGTCGTTGTATACTGGTGTGTGTGACGCCGCGCTCCCTCCCATGTAAACACGTCAGCTAATGTGGCAAGATGGGTAATTGGTCTAACTAGGCAAGAGGGATTTACGGCATTTGGTTATCCCCCTTAACCTGAATACCGGTAACATTAGTTCTACTTGTCTACACGAAGTATATAAATACATACATGAAAGTACAATCATATGTACTGACGAATTAACGAAAAATTAATATTTTCAGTGTAACATTTCATAGAACTTTATTTTCGTGTTGGGATTAAGCAAGTATATTTTAATGTAAGCTCTCTGTGTATATACAACAAGAGGCATGATATAAACCGCTCTGTTTATATACAACAAGAGGCAAGATATACACATCTCTGTGTATATACCTCTACGCAGAACTTTGTTGCTGCTATCAATTCGGTTGAATTTAGGGTAGTTTAAGTAATTATTCAAATATTTTGTTCATTGATGGTAGATTATTTGGGTAGTTTATTTCATTTGAGTTTAACTACTGAGTTTAGGGTAGTTCACTGCACATATTAACATTTCGTGTTCATGTGTTTTATTCAAATCATTCAGGATCAAACATATTGGCTTCAGTCCTCATATTGTTCAGTTTCATACAAAACTGCAGCTTATTCAGTCTTTCCTTGTACTTCAGTCATCCCATTTCTGGAGCCAGTCTTCGCTTTGCACGTTTTCTAGCCTTGTTTATGTACTTTTTTTTCAAGATGTGGTTACATGTCAGTGCTGCATACTACTTAACTTGTAATTGTTCAGTTTCCTGAAAGATTTATCGGATCTGTATCACCGTTGCATGTGCCGCTGATGATATTGTGTGGACGGTGTCAGGGCGAGGTATTCTGTCTGTTTCTAAGTCCATTTTTTCATTCTAATACTGGAAGCTGATCTTCTTTTCTTTGGCCTTACAGTCTCTTCGCTTCATCACCAACTTTCATTACCTTACACCTACTTAGGTTAAAGTCAAGAAGCCATCGTTCATGCAGATAATCTAGTTCTGCTTATAGCATTATTCTGTATGCAGGCGAGGAGTCACAATAACGTGGCTGAAGTATGTTGACCAGACCACACACTAGAAAGTGAAGGGACGACGACGTTTCGGTCCGTCCTGGACCATTCTCAAGTCGATTGTGACTTGAGCATTATTCTGTTCTTATTCGTTTTTATTAATTTTTTACGTTTATGCTTTAACAATTAACATCGAAATGTCACCGTCCGCTCTCTTACGTCTCGTAGCACAGTTGGCTTCATTCTCGACTCACATTCCTGCCCGTCCTCAGACCAAGTCTATTCTATCCAGCGTTTAACCCCAAAGACGCACTCATCAATTTAACATTCTGTTCGTTCACAACAGAACTTTTATCAAATATAAATTAATATTATTATATATTAGTATATTGTGCATATTTAGACACTGGTTAGGTTAGGTGTTTAGGTTAGGTTAGGTTAGGTGGTTAGGTTAGGTTAGGTTAGGTTAGGTTAGGTGTTTAGGTTCTGTTGGCGATTATTTGTATTTGTAGTACGTGGGTGAAGCATTTATAGCGTTGTGGTTCGAACAAAATTCGTCAGTGAAGCACTTGTTCCGGATATGTTCGAACGTCAGCAGTTGTGAGTCGTGTGTAAACCGCTTTTCATTCATAAACAGGGGGTTTGGCGGGTGGATGGAATCACTTTTGGATCTTTGTTTGGAGGACGGGCTGACGATGTAGTTCGAACAAAAGTCGTCAGCAACGCACTTGCTCCGGAAGTGTTCGGACGTCATCAGTTGTGCGTCGTGTGTGAACCGTTTTTCATTCTTAAACAGCTGGGTGGTTTGACGGGTGCATGGAATGAACTTTTGGTCATTGTTTAAAGGACGCAATCGGAAATCCTGGGTTCGATTCACGTGCGGTGCAGAAATGGTTGAGCATGTTTCATTTCACCAAGCGACTCTTGTCCTCCTAGCAGGAAATACGTACCCGGAAGTTGAACAGCTGTTGTGGCATTACGTCGTGGGGAGAATTGCAGCAGTTCGACCTTCGGGGTACCTTGATACAAGCCTAAAGAATACATTCATACAATAAGGAATACAAAATACCAACACGCTTCCTGCTCCAGATTTTATGAATTCCTAATATATTCAAAGAACTTTTTCTTAGTCCTGATCCTTCTGTGTACTCCACTAGTTATTTACCTTCATACTGACTATTCTTCCCTCTCACTGTAGCTCTTGGTCTCCGGCTTAACAGGTACATTCTCATCTCATTCAGTGTTTTCCCGATGCTGCAGTAATTAAATGTATTTTTTGTTATAATGCCAAAGGCCTTCTGGCGGTCAGGAAAGATGCAGTAAACCCATTCTTCTTTGATCCATTAGATTCCTGAGGCTTATCACATTTGGTAAGTTTATTAGGACATCCTAAATCCAAGGATATTATTATGGATAATATCGAAACGCTGCGAAGCTCGTAAGCTGTTTAATAAATACACACACTAAGACGCCATGGTCGAGGCAAGAGATAGTGATCTCGTAAGTTAACTCTTAAGTGCTTGATGAATCCGAACGAGGACTTCCATGAAGCTTACGAGAGAATCATTGAAGGAAAACCTTACTGAAAACTGGGTTACTCTTCACAATGCTTTCCAGAGTCCCTGTGTTCCCCAGTAGGAAGTCACAAGAAAATATATTTCGTCTCGTTGAATAGACGAGGAGAATAGACGAGGAGACGAGGAGTCACAATAACGTGGCTGAAATATGTTGACCAGACCACACACTAGAAAGTGAAGGGACGACGACGTTTCAGTCCGTCCTGGACTATTCTCATAATCGACTTGAGAATGGTCCTGGGCGGACTGAAACGTCATCGTCCCTTCACTTTCTAGTGTATGGTCTGGTCAGCTTACACAGGACTGTTTCGGAGTGGAAAAGACAGCAGGGAGTGGTTATGTTCGTGTATATTATGTTCGTGTTCCTGTGGTACACGAACAAGGGGCACAGGTGGAAATGGTTGAGCACTTAGCACCCAAATGAACCAAAAACGTTAGAAATAACTTCCTGTGTCAGACTAGTTAACAAATGGAATGCCTTAGAAAGCGATGTGATGGAGGCAGACTCCAAACATAATTTCAAATGCAGATATGATGAAGCCAAATTAAAAGTGTCATTAGACGAGAACTCTTAGATGAATTTGAAAAAAAGGAACAATGCAAACTGGAACTAACAGGTCCTTTGTTCATTTACAATGAAATGCGTCAAGTAAAATCCGTTTATGGGGCAAGTAACAAACTCAGCAGATTAACAGACGTTGTCACCGTTCGAATAAGACTTGGCTTCAAGTATCTATGGCAGTTCAGCATGTATAGGGCTCTAGATGAAGCTAAGTGTAAAGTGTGTGGTCAAAGACAGGGACACACACTCGAACGTTGCATCTTGCACTGTTATCAAATTGAGCCATTTAGAGAGCAATCTAAATTCACATTGTATGAAATGGAAAACAATCTTATTACTAAGGATAAAACACCTGAAATCCTTGCACTGTACCGATGTTCCACCTCCTGTAGATACATGACATGAGATTAAGGAACAAGCAGTGTAGTGTGAAGACTAACAATAATTAACAGCAGCTTTCCTATGATCCTGTAATACCTCTATAGCCTTTACGGGCTCACCATAGCCCGTGCTACATGGACACTTTGTCCTGAGTAGCTAAATCTTTAACAACAACAACATCTATAGCTAAAACAGTTATCTATTAGTGAGACAAAAATACCATTAATGTATAATAATTAAATATATATACATAGCTACTGAAATGAAACAATCTCTATAACTAGCTGATGTTATAATTATAAGGTGTGCAGGATAGATGTAATTGTTAGTGTAATTTCTCCTCGTTAAGGTCTAATAAAGACCTTTTGTCCCCTCATTAATGCTTTTTGCGCTATCGCTCACAGAATGAGTATGGGGTGCACAATAAACTAGCCGCCTTTGGCGGCAATAATCAATGGCTCAGGAACCTGTACGCCCGTTAATTGATGGTTGAGAGTCGAAATATCAACATGAAGAGTGCATCGTTCAGGCCGTCTCCAAAACCATTGGGTAACAACCCGTTTAAGAATGTTTAAGAATGACTACACACAACTCACAACTAATGACCTTCGAGCATTTCTCGAACAGTGCTTCGCTAACGACCTCTATTTCTCTCAGCCCGTCCTCCAAACAAAGATCCAAAAGTGATTCCATGCACCCGCCAAACCCCCTGTTTATGAATGAAAAGCGGTTTACACACGACTCACAACTGCTGACGTTCAAACATATCCGGAACAAGTGCTTCACTGACGAATTTTGTTCGAACCACAACGCTATAAATGCTTCATCCACGTACTACAAATACAAATAATCGCCAACAAAACCTAAACACCTAACCTAACCTAACCTATGCCTATATATGCACAATATGCTAATATATTATAATATTAATTTATATATGAGAAAATTTCCGTTTCGAATGAACAGCATGTTAAAATTTATGAATGCGTCTGTGGGGTCGACCGCTGGGTGTAATGGACTTGAGTCGAGGACGGATTTCAGCGGTTGCCAATCTTTCGGAGCTCACGGATCACCCAATTAATAATTTTAAATCCCGCGGTCCCCTAAACAAGAAATGATAGTTATTAAAATCAAACTATCTCATACCATTAAATATAACAGTTAAAGAAAATATACAGTTATCTACAATACACAAATAAAATTGTCTCTGGAACCACTGGTTGGTTACCACTGCTCTATTTAACTCACAGTTCTGTAAATGCTTCACCCACGTACTGTAAAAACAAATAACTGCCAACAGAACCTAAACACCTAACCTACGCATAACTACACATAAAAAAATTACATTATTTTTTACAAAACACTGATTTTGAATAACGTTGTGATTGAAACCAAATGTCTTTGGGGTCAGCCGCTGCTTCTACGAGTCTAACCTGAGGACCAGTTACAGCCACAGGTATAG